GGTAAAATATGGAAGCATTATCTCATTTTTCTATATTAGTTTATGTTTCCTGATTTGATTTAATGAAGTTATCTAATATTTTATATTGTAATTATTATTATGAATTTTTTCTTTTATGAATAATTTTTCATCCAATTTAAGTTAATATATTTGTATTTTATATTTAATTGTGTTTTTGTATGTGGATAATGCTTGTGTTTAATTTTCAAAATTTGTTGCATTAAAACTGTTTGATAAAATATTTGTGAGAAATATGATTATATAAAAAATATTTAACACAAGACTTTTTATGATGGTTATATTAAGAACCGACATAGTAAATACTTATTATGTCAGTTATGTAATAATCAACATAGAAAGTTATATCTTTATGTCGCTTGGATCTATGTCAGTTGTAGAATCGACATAGAAAGTCTAAAATAACTGTCATAAAAGTATTTTTTTGCACTAGTGGTTATGTAACATGTGGGGTGTTGTGCACATATCTTGAATATTATAGTTCAAGAAGGGTTAAAGGTAATGGGTGATGATGCTCTCTACAAAATCAGAGAAAGTGTTAAATATGTTAAGACATCAGAGGGTAGATTGAGAAAATTTCAAAAATGTGTTAAAGAAGTGCACTTAAGTTATATAGGTGGTGATTTCTTAAGACTAGATGTGGCTACTAGATGGAATGCTACATACATGATGCTTGTAAGTGTCATTAAGTATCGTTGAACATTCACTAATTTGGGATATAATAATAGAAGTCATAAGTTTTACGCAACTAATGAAGATTGGAAAAGAGCCGAAAAGATATCTAAAAAGATAAATAATAAATACTTGGTATATTTGATTTGAATTATTTTTATGTTTTATTTCGTAATATAATATCCTAACTAATTTAGCATTATCTTTTGCGATAAACAAATATTGCAGTTTTGGATGTCTTGGAAGAGCTTAATTTAGGTGTTTTGTTCAAAATAGATTACATGAACATTTTCTTGTATTTTTTTATGAATTTTTATTTACTTTAGTTATTTGTGTTATGTTATGAGACATTGACAAAGTTATTTTAAAAAAATTTAAAATTTGGTGAAAGATAAATTGTTGTACGATGATTCTTATGATTTTATTTTGTTTAAATAGATTATGAATTAATTTTGAATAGATAAATTAATGACATAATTTTTTCAAACAAAATTAAAAAAAACTATATAAATATTGTTTTTTAGGTAGGCCAAAAATAGCCTATTAGCCCATTGTCTTAACATAGGATCAGACTAGACCAAATATTTTGGTCTGTTTTAAAATATAGGTTAGGTTGGGCCGTTAAATATTTTTTAGTTGGCCCGTAGGATCATGTTAGGTCGTCTGCTTTTGACAATCTTAAGAATCTTGTATGAAATTAATGTTATAAGTGGAAGATCCAAAACAAAGAATTTGTTCTTTATTTATCTTAAAGTTAACAACTTATTTATATAACACCATAATTATTATTTGTATTTAAAATTTAAAAATAACATTATGTATTGTTTCTTATTTCAATGTAATAAGAAAATAAACTCCTTTAAATGTGGTTATTATATCATGTGTTGGATAAAAATCATAGTTTATGCATGTAAAATTGATTCTTATACAGAGATATTGCTTTCAACATTTGTTAAGTTATTGTATTGTATTATGTAGTTTAGCAATTAGGTAGCTTAGTTTTTGTACTAGTTTAGTCTTTGTCTTAGTTAAACTTTGTAATGTTTAGCTTTTAAGTAATTTAGTCTTTGTACTAATTTAGCTTTTATAATTTGTATTATATTACATTGTAATATTTTGTATTGTATTATTGTATTTTGAATTATCGTCTATTGAAAATCTATGAATAAAATATATTTGTATGTTTTGGTTGTAAGAAAAAATAAACCGAATGTTAAAAAAAAGAACAAAATTTATCTTGGATGTGTCAATACCCGACATAAATTTACCTTGAATCCTATTATAACCGACATAAATTTATGTCTATTATAGTATGATTTGACGTAAATTTACATCTCACTCTTTAATTTTAAAAACTTTTTTACAGCTTATTTCTTGTTTTTTATAATATAAATTAATGTCGATTATCAACATAATTAATGTCGATTTTTATCTTTGACATAAATTTACGTCTCTCATATTAATGTCAAAATTATGACATAAAAATGTCAAAATAACATACGTACAAACCATTATATGCACTAGTGTAACTTATTGTATATTTTTTTATTAAATTTATTTGGTATGATAGTATTATTTATATATAATGAAAAAAATATAATAATGAAAATATGCCATTACCTAAACTATAATTTTATATCAAAATTATGTAAATTGATATATATATATATATATATATATATATATATAATATTTTATCCTATAAGTTTTGTTTTAATTTACCCTTTTTTTTTCAAGTTTCATAACCGAATAATGATGGAAAAAAATTGTTTTGATTATGTGCACTCATATTTGATACTGATATGATAACTATTTTTTTTAACATTGATATGTTTAGGAGGTCCAATGTAACTTTTGTTAGCAAGTCAGATGTGGTAGATGTGTATGTGATGATTACTTTGTGGTGTAAAATGTCGTAGATTCCCATAATGATGATTCTCTTAAAAAGGCAAAGTAATATTACTAATTACCAAATAATAAGATAATGTATATAGTTTGTGTAGCTCATATCGTAATTAATGACCTCACACGAACACAACCACATTATTTGCTAGTTCAAAACCATGGGGTGAGGAATTTAATCAGGTTGGCACTGATAGATAAATGTGGCATTTTTCAAGATGGAAATTTAACAATGTAAAACTATAGTGCTTCAAATAAAGAATGTTAAGTGAAAAGAAAAGGAAAAACTATGCGTACGTGCGCATCACTAATTAAATTAGCCACCAAAGTTGTTTTGGGGTCACAAAAAGTTTGGAAGCCTCTGATAAAAAAATTAAGAAAATGAAGTTTCGAAAGTAACCATCAAAGGTAGGTGCAAGGTCAAGAAGATGAAAAAATTACTATTGAATTTTTTTATTAATTAATTAATTAATCACAGAATAATGTATCAAAATAAATAAACTAATTACACGATAAGAATCAATAAGAATAATATTCTCACTCAACAACAAGACACGTCCAACCCGGTTTATTTGATAATGTCGAAAGAACCGACCCAAGCCAAACCGGTGGCGACATGCATGATGCATGCATTCATGTCATGACCCATGACATGACCCCACACGTTGTTCAGTGCCTCGTGCCACCCACGTTTTCGATTTCTAACGACCATCGCTATTTATTGCCTGCGCTCATGTCCTCCACAGCCACCATCTCACCCAACCCTCACCGTTCATATCGTTGACCGTCAACCAACTTTCGCCGTTCGATCTATCAGCATAGGATTCTCATGGTTCAAAACCGTTGGATTTCTATCTTGCTTTTTCGGTTAAAGAAGTGGGGCCCATAGAAGAAAAAGCGTGTGAACTGCATCACCGTCAAACCCACACACTTAAATAAAGAAACTTGACTAATACATTTTTATTAAATAATTCAAAATCACTCGTTCAACACAAACTTTTATTTTATGTTATTAATGTTTTCAAAATAGTTATATTCCATTTCAAGAATGACCATTGTCACTACACGTGCTCCAGACAGAAACCATGACACCTGATTTTCTATGATAAAAAAAATATTGGTTCCAGTGAGTGCATGATATCCACAGTACTCATATTTCTAAGATCATGTAAACTACAAATTAAATAGGTTGAGTTAAAGATAATCTCATTAAATCCAGATTATGGTTCTTCTTAACATGATTTAATCCTTTTTTTAACTTTTGGAAACAACAGGTGGGGTTATCTACTTTTACTACTTATAGTAATAGCAACTTGTTAATGTTAATTTAAATTTTTGAAATAAATTATGTTAATAGAGAAATTAAATTTTACAGCCAAAATGGTTAAAGAAACACATGTATATCTTAATTAGGAAAATTAAATATTAAATGTAATTAAAATTAATGATGCAAAATGAAACTGTATTAAATAGCTACCATGCATCCAGAGACAGAACATTACAATAAATAAGAAATAACAATTTTATTTAATAGTATTAATTTTTTTTCACAAGTTTATCAATAATTATGGTGCTTTATCATTAAATCTATCAATATATTTATAAAAAAACCATAATTATGTTGTAGAATAGGTAGATTGTTACATAAGAAGAATGGTGAAAAATATAATGAATGAGAGAGAAAATTTAATGAGACAGTGAAAAGAGAATTAACATGAAAAAATGAGAAAAATTAAAAAAGTTTAGATTAGATTATTTTTTTGAAGTTGAATATTAAATATGAAAATAAGAAATAGAGTGAAGGATGATAAATGATGGAAGCATTTGTGGCATTATTATAATATATATCCTGTCGGCAAAACTTACAAAGAAATCTTCATCCCCTCATAAAGTGCGTCTCCACTTTTTCTTCCTCCGCCATCAAATCCAGAGCCTAGTGTCGCCCCCCTCCCCCCCCCTTTGACATTTTCTTAAGTCAACCCCCATAAATCAACCACCACTATCTTCCGTTGCCCACTCCATCAAACACCAAAATAAACTTATTTTTAAAAAGTAAATAGATAAGCATAGAGATGCCAAAATGCCAACCACACATTCTCTCTCTCTCTCTCTCCCTTCAAAAGAAAGCAACTTTTTCAGTTTTTCTATTTTCTTTATTACATTTTTTTCTTCAATAACATTTTTATTCCTAAAATTTATTAATGGAACTTGAACTAGTGGTAGCATTTTCTCTCTCTTACTGGACTTTGTGCAAAGCGCCCTCTTTTCTCTCTCTATAAATACAAGTCCATCCCCACTCATTGCACCTTATCATCTCTCTCTAGCCAAAAGTCAGCGCCTTCTTTTGTCTTTTCTCTCTCTCTCTCTCTCTCTCTCTCGCTCTCTCTCACGCTGCAGAGTTTGTCTCCATGGCGGAAGATTGGGATCTACATGCGGTGGTTAGAGGTTGCTCCATCGTCACATCATCCTCCGTGTCTTCTTCTTCTGCTTCCTCTTCCTCCTCCGGTTTTGCCTCTTGTTACTTCCTCTCTGAAGGGCTTTCCTCCTCCTCTTCTTCTTCTTCTGGCTTCTCTATCTTCAAAGGTGAACAAGGAAGCCAAGTTTTGTCGCTTACTTCGTACCCCTTTGAGGCAAGGAGCTCCATTGAGGAGTTGCATGAGCTTTGCAAGCCTTTCTTCTCCAAATCTCAGCCTCTCTCGTTGCAAGCCTCCTCCCCCCTGTCCTCACTCTCTTCCTATTCCTCTGCGCCACCTAAACCGGTTTTAACTCAAGAGAGGCAACAACAACAGCGGAACAAGCAGCCACACTCTGTCACCACCCCACGATCTAAAAGAAGGTACAAAAGTTCGTTCTTGCTTGGTTTTGATACCCCAAAGAGATAAAAATGAAAGATCTTGGGCTGTCCGAAGTTGTAAAAATCATGTCTTTGGTTGAAAATTTTGTGCGTGTTGGTTTTAAATTGCGGTTGTGGTTGTAGTTTTGTTACCAAGTGGAAAATTGTAGATAAATGTGATTGATGAGACTGCAATTGTGCTTGCAGACAGTGTTTTGAAATCTTGGTGCGTTTGTGTGTGAGAGAGTGTTTGAAATATGTGCTTATGACTGTTTTTTGGTCTTTTACAGGAAGAACCAGCTTAAGAAAGTTTGTCAAGTGCCATTTGAAAATCTCTCCTCAGACATATGGGCATGGAGGAAATATGGCCAGAAACCCATAAAGGGGTCTCCTTATCCAAGGTGAGCCTTGAATATTTTTTTGACTTCCAATTTTCCAAAAATGAGTTGAAAGTTCATGATTTGGCTCTTTTCTTATTTGTTGACCCTTGATTTAAGATTGTGAGAAAATATGTGCATGAGTTATAAAGGTTCTTGAGATCTCAATAGTGATTTTTTCAATTAATTATCACATGAAAATCCTACTTTATGCTTTAAGTAAAATCAAATCCAAATTTCTAAAGTTGTGTACTTTAGGGTCTAATTGAGGTTGCTTTGTTTTTGTAGGGGGTACTACAGATGTAGCAGCTCGAAGGGGTGCTTGGCAAGGAAACAGGTTGAGAGGAACAGATCAGACCCAACAATGTTCATAGTTACTTATACTGCTGAGCACAATCACCCTGCTCCTACTCACAGAAACTCTCTTGCTGGCTCCACACGCCAGAAGCCATTGGCAACCCAAACCGCCACCACTGAACAAGACTCCGACAAGAGCAAGAGCCTCACGAAACCCTCTTCCCCTGCCACCTCAGGGGCAGAGGAAGAGGTTCCAGCACAAGGGGAAAAGTCCGAGAGCAGAGAAGAGAAAGAGGATATGATGGATGACGAGGAAGAAGATGAATTTGGGTTGTCTGACATGGTTCTAACAGATGATTTCTTTGAGAGTTTGGATGAGCTGAGTCAACTCACTGCCCCTTCTGTTGTCACAGGAGACTGCTTCAGTGACCCCTTTTCAGCTATAGCAATCCCTTCTTGGGTGGCTAGTGGTGCTGCTACTGCTGGTGGATGCATATGATTCTTTTGGGGAAATCATCACAACAAGAGACAATTGTTTCATGCTTTTCATTGATGACAATAGGGACCTTTTTTATTTTTGTTTTGTTTGTAGAGGAAATGGAACATTTTGGAGGAATCTTTACTAACAATGGTTTGTGAAGGGGAGGAAATTTTTTTCCCAAGTAGAGTAGTGACTAGTAAGGTAGATCAAGCATTTGTATCTATCTACTTTGATCTTGTTAAAATCAAGGATTAGTATTAGGGATTCATAGTTTTATGTCATACCTATGTTAATGTAAAAACAATTTATTTAGTTTTTATTTTTGTTGTATGCCCCTTGTGTTGTGTCTGTGTTCAATGTATTTGAATTTTGACATTGGTTGTGATATAAATTGGAAAAGCACTTTTGGGTTGACTTTTGAATTTTCTTCTTGGTAATGATTATAATTGTGTGACTGTGACATAAGGGTTCATGGTTGTTGCTTGTTGGGTATATATTCTAGTAGTACTGTGCAAGACCACCAATTGTAGTGAACCTTTATCGGGGACACGAGGGGCTAAGGTAATCAAGGAATTAGATTCCATGAAGCATATGCGTTTTGATTTATATGGTATCTGCCTTCTCTCTGTTTTATTCACAGAGAAGCAAAGTATTTCACGTCAGCTTCATACCTTCTCCAAATGAGAGCCACGTTGGCTTGAAGTTAACATGTTAGGCTCACCATTTAGGTTTGTGCCATTTCCTTGGCTCCCAATAACATTGCATCTCATCCCCAGTGGAAGAGGTCAATTTACCAAACTTGCCTCACCTGAAAAAAGAAAAAAGAAAAATATAGTTAGGTATTATCTTCTTTCAACAATCATGGTTTCACACTAAGACACACCACTTCATATTATTCTCTTTCTTTATGTGTATATATGGAGAAATATTTGAAAATTACTTCAAGGATGCAAAAAATATTTTTCTTTATTCGAACTAACAATTTGTTAATGTACTTGTAATCTCGAGCTTTAAAAAAAATATTGAGACGCAATTTAAACAGCCAAATCAATAAAAAAAAGTTTTTAATTTGTCATCTAGTGAAAAGTGTGTAACATGTTTAAGATAGATGTGAAGTTCAAAATCGTGTTTGACACCATGACATTTTAAATAATAGAAGCATTGCCAATTCATAGATTCATCTTATCATTGTTGGTAAGGATAAACCGCATTAGTTATATTTTAAAAGACTTTGAATTTTCCGTTGTTAACCATAGAAAAATATTCATCTCATACAATTGGAAGGAAAGTGAAAGACTAGTCGAATTTGGTGATGAATATATGCAGTTAAAGGGAGAATTTTTGAAGGAGCCGTGTGAGGATGAAACTGTTAACAAGTTGATTGTTCAACCTAGAATTTGTAAACCAAGTAGTTGGACAGTGGTACAATACTATCTTATCTCATGAACAATGATGCTTATCCTTCTATTAATGTAGTTGGAACAAAAAGATTTAGATAGCATAAATTCGTTTTTTACATGAAACAGAGCAACTTGGTTTTCTCTTTTCGAGAAATCAACATGGAAGTTCCTCTCAATCCAACACCCCATTTCAAAAGCTTGGTGGAAATTACTTCCAAACTTTTTAAAATACTGAAAAAATCCATCTTCTGTCGGTAATGGGGCAAAGAATTTACCAAAAACATCATCATAATCATGCCTTTTACTTGCCGGAAATTTGTGATTTTTGTAGGACACCAAACAATATAACTGATAAACTAACGTATGGTTGGTTTAAAAGCCAAATTTGATGGAAGAACCCTCAGTTTAAATAATAAACTTCATATATTGCAGTTAAAGAAAGAAAGAAATAGACCATTTTTTCTAGAAAAGATACTAAATCATGAGGGTAAGGTTTCTTAATGGATTATTTAAACGTATCACTCAATTAAGGGCATCCTATGGTTCAACCTCACAATTTCATCATACCTTGAGAACTGTACAACCTTCAGGAAGGATCTTGTGATCTTGTGTTGTGGTGGGAAAATCCAACTTTACTGGGCAGAACTGTGTCACCAATTCACCATCCACAAGCATCGGTGGTGAAGAATCAAGGCCACAAAAGTTGACCTTCACTAAAGCGCATTTAAGAGATCATCAAGATAAGCTTTTAAATGAACACAACACTTAACAAAATTTTGCACTCAACCTAAATGGAATTGACCTTGTCTGAAACATGCATTATGTCTGAGTTGGATACATGTGTCTAGGTTCAATATGTCATCCAATATTGTATTGTATGGTTATGATTATTATGTTCATTGCATGATTATTAAGTCTCTGGTGTAATTAAGACACATGTTTTCAGGTTTGGTCTGTTTTCTCTCTCTCAAGGGACCAAGCAAATTGCTTCACTAATGACAATGCAAAAATGAGTTGGAGTATTAGTGAGTGTGTGAATCGATTGATGCAGAGTTGTTCCAGTTTAACAAGTGATTTTAAGATTAATTTTGAATATACAACTACATTAAAAAGTCTAAAGAATTTTTTTATAGCAGATTCTGTCTGATTTGAATAAGATTGTCTCTAGTAAAGCATACTTTATTTCTTAAGAAAAAAATTTACCTGGAGTTCTTCCTTTATAAGACCTACAGTACTTTAATTCACCATGAATGAACAGGTTACTCTATTATCAAACATGATTTGTGCTATTTGAAGATGTTATGAGGAGTTGATAGGGCACAAGTTGGTAAGATGATTTTATACTTTTATTGATAGAAACTGTCATGTTGGACTGGCCTGTTAGCAATACATGTTGCTTTATTAAGTTATTCACTTTGCTGGAAGATAATCAATATTTTGATCTTTGGAAGGTTTGAGATTCATCATTTTATTCTTTGAAATATAAAAATCATCACTTTTTGTTACTGAAATATGAAAAAAGTCAAACAATTTAATCCCTTTTTAATATGAAAAAAGTCAAACAATTTAATCCCTTTTTAACATTAATTTAGTCTCTGAAAAGGATTAAAGTGATCAATAATTTCATCTTTCAAAGATGAAAAATAATGATTTTCATATTTCAGAACCAATGTGATTGACGTCAAATTTGTTAGGAACTAAAAGTTTCCTTCACCAATTGGTTTGGAAGTGTCCATATTTTGAAGTGCTTCAAATTCTGCAGATGCTGCCTTGTCCAAACCTAACAACCTCTGCGATTATAAAACCATTTGCTTCTGCGACAAAAAAAAAAAAAGTTTTTGTATTATATATATATATATATATATATATATATATATATATATATTATTCAAAAATATTTTTTGTATTATCTATATATATTTTATTACTTATAAATATAATGTATTTTTTAACTTTTTAATATCTATTTATTAATTTTTTAAGTGAGTAATTTTAATAAAAAATATGGACAAATAATTTTTAGTAAATTCTATCTTCGTTATATTTTTTTCCCTTTCATAATAATCATAGTTATACCATTTTACTTTGGATCTTTTGGTTGAATTTTACTTTAACGAATATAATGTTAATTGCCTAATTTTTATTTTTGACAAATCTTAAAAATAAATTAATTTATAAACTATTATTTACGAATATCTGAATAACGAGAAAAATATAATTTAAAATCATTAAGGATAATATCTTTTTTATTTAATTAGATAATTAATTTAAAAGAAAATTTAATTTAATATAAAACCTCATAAAACAAGATTCACTACTAATAGATGGCTTAGATGAACTTTGATTCTTCGAAATCAGATCCAAGCCGTCCAAAGAAATCAGTCAAGGTTCGAACACCGTTCAATTTTAACCACTCTCGCTTACCCTCACCACCTTTCACTCGCCTCCCAACAATGCTGTTGGTCCACGCGCCACCATGGACACCTCTTCTCAAAACATTGCTTCATCACAATCATAACCATCACTTTTCTCGCCCTTTCTTCTTCTCACTATCTAATTTCACAAAACCCTTTTCCATTGCCACCCGCTTCTTCTCGCACTCTCGCCGGAGTTCAATTCTCCCTATGAACGGACAAGGCCTCCCCGCCAGTGGCTCCTCGCCAGAGCACTTTACTGGTGACTGGTACTCCGTGCCGGAGCTCCGGCTTCGTAAACACCGGTTCACGGTCCCTCTCGATCACTCTCGGGGACCCCATTCTTCTCCCAAGATCACTGTTTTCGCTCGTGAAGTCGTTGCAGGTAATGCTAGTCAACTTTAACTATGTCATTCAATGATTTTCCGTGGTTTTGATTTCATTCATTCATTCATTCATTGTTTATTCGTTGAGCTTTGATTCGTTCTTGCACAGAAGTTCAGTGATAATATGAAGTATTGTATTTTTAGTTTTTTAATTTGTGGGGGAAAAATGAGATTTTGATGGTGGCTAATGAGTTACTGGGTGAAGTTACGGAAAATCAAGATGGATTTTTGTGAAAAAATGTAATCAGGTCAGGTTATTTGATTATTGTATGGGATATTTTGTCAATGGGGTGTCTGGTACTGAGGTAGAATGTAGTAATGGCTTGTTAGATTTATAATAAATAGTTTTGAGTCCTTTATAGGCTGTGTTTGGATTGCTGGAAGAGTATGGAATGGAATGGGTTTAAGGTCCATTGTTTGGATCGGAAAATAAGGAATAGAAAACGGAAGGTGACGTAGTCTTTTAGTATCATTGTATTTCTTCATTTTTAAAAGCTGGAGGTGCGGAACCTACTTGAACTTTTGAAATTAAAATCAAGTACTTGGGTACATTAAGTGTTTTGTGTTTGTGTCTGCTTACAAGTCCTCGAGATCAAGCACTTTTTCTCAAGGGATGAGAGAAAATGATAAGGCCCAATGTAAACAGGAAAATGAACCACTAGCCCATGAGAACAAAGGAGGCCCAAAGAAATGGATTGTGTATGAACAAGAAGAAAAAGAATGCTGATGTGGCATGAAAGGTTTCTGAGGTTGTTAGAGGAGAGAGGAAGAATATTTTCTTTCGGTTGATTTGGATAGAGAACCTCATGGTTGCTCTATTAGGAGCTTAGCTCTGGGCAGAGAAAGGGATTATCCTTTTTCCGAGTTTCATTACTGTCTGGACTACATTTTCAATACAGAAATTTCTTACTTACCTGTGTGGTTATTGATTTATTTTATGTGGTTGATGTTTGAATCCTATTAATTGGTCCGACCTGCCGGATACTTCATTGGAATGTTGAATGTCACTGAAGAAGGGAAATCAATCTAAGCCAGAAAGATTAGTGGACGAGGAAAACATGGAAGCACGTGTTAGCTTTGTGGAAAACGAGATTGCTCGAATGAGGATAACGATGGAGAATTTTTAAGAAGCGATGAAACGCGAAGTTCAAGAGAACCACTCGATACTCGTCGAGTTTTTGACTTGAAATTCTGGAAAAGATCCAGAGGGGGAAGATGAAGGTTCAGTGAAGAAGAAGAGCGTATCAAATAGGAAAAAACATTTTGGAGTGACCTCGGGTATGAACACGCTCGAAGGGGAAGCCTTAGAAGAATTTCGTCAATCTGTGAAAAAGATTGAGCTTCCCTCATTTAACGGCGAGGATCCTGCAGGATGGATCTCCAGGGCAGAGATCTATTTCCAGGTTCAACAGACTAGTGAAGCGGTGCATGTCAACTTGGCAAATTTGTGCATGGAGGGAGGAACGATACACTTTTTCAACGTCTTGTTGAACGATTATGATGAGCTAACGTGGGAGAATTTAAAGAGGGAGTTGCTGGAAAGATATGGAGGAATGGGCGAAAGAAGTGTGTTCGATCAATTGACATCATTGAAACAGAATGGGAGCATTGAAGAATACATCGCAATGTTTGATGGGTGAGACAGTCATAAAGCTGATACACAAGGAGTTTGTCGCGGAATTAAAGTTGAGGTTAATGGTGAGACATTCAATATTGACGTTGTACTCTTTGACTTAAAGGACATTGATATGATTCTGGGAATGTGCTGGCTGACATCTTTGGGGGAAATGTTGATTGATTGGGGAAAGCAAACAATGAGGATTACCACTAGTCAAGGGACGAAACTGTTAAAAGGGGTGAAGAGTCTCTAGCAGCCCAAATCAAGGAGTTAGTGGGAGATTCACAGGATATTCCAAAAAGAAAAATCACAAATCAACAACAAGGGGAATTGGAGGAATTACTTGACAAATTTATTGACGTCTTTGCTGAACAAAAAGGGTTACCACCAATTCGTTCGAGGGAGCATAAAATCTTACTGAAGCCAAATCAAGAGCCAATTAATGTGAGGCCATATCGTTATCCTTATCACCAGAAAAATGAAATAGAAAAACAAGTTAAGGAGTTGATGGAGAATGGACATATACGTCACAGCCACAGTACCTATTCAAGTCCTGTAGTCCTTGTCAAGAAGAAAAATAACAAGTGGAGAATGTGTGTGGACTACCGTGCTCTTAACAAGGCTACAATTCCAGATAAATTTTCTATCCCTGTAATTGAAGAACTGTTAGATGAATTACATGGTTCTAAATACTTTTCAAAGTTGGATCTTAAATCAGGGTACCATCAAGTCAGGATGAGGGAGGAAGACATTGAGAAGACAACTTTTAGAACTCACGAGGGATATTACGAGTACCTCGTAATGCCTTTTGGGCTCATGAACGCTGCAGCAACATTTCAAGGATTGATGAATGAGGTATTTCATGATCAACTTCGAAGGGGAGTTTTAGTATTTTTTGATGATATATTGGTGTATAACTCTGAATGGAAAGAGCACTTGGTTCAATTAAAAATGGTTCTGGAAGTTATGAGGCATCAAAAGTTATATGCCAACAAGGAGAAATGTAATTTTGCCCAGGAAAGTGTTGAATATCTGAGACATGTGATTTCATGGAAAGAAGTGGAAGTTGATCCAGCCAAGGTCAAAAGTGTAATGGAGTGGCCAATCCCAAAAAATGTAAAAGGAGTAAGGGGATTCCTGGGACTTACAGGTTACTATTGTAAGTTCATTTCTGAATTATGGAAAAATAGCTAAACCTCTAATTGAATTGAACAAGAAAGAAGGTTTTAAGTGGAACGAGAAAGCACAGCAAGCATTCGAGGAATTGAAGAAGATGATCACTACAACTCCAGTTTTAGCTCTACCAAATTTTGAGAAGGAGTTTGAGCTTGAATGTGATGCATCTGGGCTTGGGTATTGGGGCCATATTAATGCAAGAACGTAGACTTGTGACTTATTTTAGCAAGGCTCTGGGAAGTAGAAACTTGACAAAATCTGTGTATGAAAAAGAGCTTATGGCTGTAGCTCTATCCATTCAGCACTGGAGGCCGTATTTATTGGGGCGTAAATTCAAGGTTTATTCAGATCAAAGGAGTCTTAAATAGTTGCTGCAGCAGCTAATCACTAACGGAAGTCAACAAAACTGGGTGGCCAAATTACTTGGCTATAATTTTGAAATTGTATATAAACCGGGATTGGAAAACAAGGGAGCTGACCCACTGTCCAGAAAATTTGAAGAGGGGGAATTGAAAAATATGATGTCTATACCGATTTGGATAGATAGCCAAACAGTAATTGATAAGGTTCACAGAGATGAGAAAATGAAGAAAATCATTGAAGACTTGGAGCAGGGGAGTAAGAACCGTTCGGGTTTCACTTATCAACGGGGAATTATGTTTTATAAAGACAGAATAGTGGTGTCTCCAAATTCTGAGTGGACGGATAGATTAATCGAAGAATTCCATTCTACACCACAAGGAAATATGCCACTATCGCCTCGGGAGGTTTGTTACAACCACTGCCAATACCAGAGAAGGTGTGGGAAGATATTTCTCTTGATTTTATCACAGGGTTACCAAGATCGAAAGGTTTTGAGGCCATATTAGTTGTAGTGGATCATTTGACGAAATATAGTCATTTCATTGCCTTGAAACATCCTTATACAGCAAGAACCATAGCAGAGGTGTTTGTTAAAGAAGTTGTGAGACTTCATGGGATGCCTAATTTAGTGCTTAGTGACAGGGATCCTTTGTTCATGAGTCTTTTTTGGAAAGAATTTTTTAAAATGCAGGGGACAAGGCTTCTTATGAGTACAGCGTATCATCCACAAACAGATGGACAGTTTGAAGTGATAAATCGCTGTTTGGATACATATCTAAGATGTTTCATTACTGATCAACCTAAAGGATGGGCTTTGTGGCTTCCTTGGGCTGAGTACTGGTTTAATACTACTTACCATATGTCAATTGGAACCATCCCATTTGAGGCGGTATATGGTAGACCACCACCGTCATTGATAAGAGGGGTTCAAGGAGAAATCAGGGTTGAGTCTGTGCAGAGGGAAATAAATGATCGTGATGAAGCCCTTAGACAACTCAAGAAGCATTTGATTAGAGCTCAAGAACGCATGAAGGGGCAGGCAGATAAACATCGACAAGATAGGAGCTTTGAAGTAGGTGAACTGGTAATTTTGAACCTAAACATCACAGACAACATTCAGTGGCAGCAAGAATTAGTCCAAAGTTAAGTGCTAGATATTATGGGCCTTTCGAAGTGGTAGAGAAGATTGGGGCAGTAGCTTATAAGTTGAAATTACCTCCAGAAGCAAGAATTCACCTTGTGTTTCATGTATCTTTGCTTAAGAAGACAATAGGGAATTATAAAACCAAAACTTCTATTCCTACAGGCTTGAGGATGACAGGGTGGAAGTAATGGAACCTCAATCAGTGTTGGCATCTCGTAGCTTGATGAAAGGAGGGGAGAGGACAAATCAGTGATTGGTGAAATGGAAGGGAAAATCAGTAGAGGAAGCTTCATGGGAAGATGAACTGACTTTGAAGAGTCAATTCCCAGAACTCAGTCTTGAGGACAAGACTGAAATTGAAGGGTGAAATATTGATAAGGCCCAAGGTAAACAGGAAAATGAACCACTAGCCCATGAGAACAAAGGAGGCCCAAAGAAATGGATTGTGTATGAACGTAAGAAGAAAAAGAATGCTGACGTGGCATGAAAGGTTTCTGAGGTTGTCAGAGGAGAGAGGAAGAATATTTTCTTGCGGTTGATTTGGATAGAGAACCTCATGGTTGCTCTATTAGGAGCTTAGCTCTGGGCAGAGAAAGAGATTATCCTTTTTCCGAGTTTCATTACTGTCTGGACTACATTTTCAATACAGAAATTTCTTACTTACCTGTGTGATTATTGTTTTATTTTATGTGGTTGATGTTTGAATCCTATTAGAACATATAATTGAAGCCAAAGTTATTATGTTCCTTTCAAGGAAGAGAGGTGAGACATATTCTGGTTTTCAGCTACGTAATTGGATGGTGAGCTTGAACAGGGGAGGGAGTTGACATGAGTTTATTTGGATACTCAAGAAAGCTTTGCATGAATTGCTGGTACTGGTAGAATATGTTACTTATTGGCATTGGGCAGTTATTCGGTTTCTGCAGGTACAACCGCTAGGTTTCAGTGAGGAATATTATTGTCATGCAGGATGCAAATCATACATTTCAATGATTCATGATTGAACGTTATGTGTTATGGTGGAGACTTTCTGTATCTATATTCCAGTATTGACTGGGAAACCCTGGGTGGGTATGTTGACAACTAGAGAAGCATTGCTTCCTCATGCAAGCATAAAGATTTATCTACTATTATTATGTTCATAATGTTTTATGTTTTGATTAGTCATTCTTTAATAAGATCAGTTGTCCGGATTCTATATAATTGTGATAAATTATTAGTTTGTATATTGTCTAATGGATAACTCATGCCCAATCTTCTGGATCATCCCATTCATCATCTTTGCATGTTTTTGTTCAAAACTCGGTAATTTGGTTTCAGTTGGGAAAGAAGAGCAAAAATTGCCATACTTGTTATATTTGCAAGGTGGACCTGGGTTTGAGTGTCGGCAACCAACTGAGTCTAGTGGATGGGTTCAGAAAGTCTGTGAAGAATTCCGGCTCATCTTAATGGACCAGGCATGATTTACTTGGCATTTATGTAATCATCTTTGTGATACTGTAAGAACTTTTATGTATAATCTGTTCTGTTACTTGCATACATTTCTACAGCGAGGAACAGGCTTATCAACTCCCTTGACTGTGTCATCAATGTCGCAATTCGAGTCTGCTGATGAGTTAGCTGACTTCTTAGAACATTTTCGAGCTGATAATATAGTAAATGATGCAGAATTTATTCGAGTACGCCTTGTTCCAGATGCTGGTCCTTGGACAATTTTGGGACAGGTATTCAAGTTAATGTTTTTTATAGGTATTCATATGAGTTGCTGATTTGATGTCCACTGAGTCTGGCTTTACAGTTTCTAACTTCTTCCTTTTCTTTCCTTTCCCAATATTTTTTTTCCATATCTCTTTGAAAAATTGATATCTAAGTTCTGCTGTAGGTATCATCTAATGCTTTATCGATTCAGGAGCTTTGGTTAGAATGAGTTGTACCTTTGAAACCAATATAGCCTTGAAATTCCATGGTTGCTTATTCTTCTGTTCTTATTTAATTGCTGTAGAGCTATGGTGGATTTTGTGCAGTCACATATTTGAGTTTTGCACCACAAGGACTGAAACAAGCACTTATAACTGGAGGAATTCCTCCAATTGGAGGTGGATGTCCTGCTGATTCCGTGTACAAAGCGTGCTTTGAGCAAGCTATACATCAAAATGAGAAGTACTACAAGAGATTCCCTCAAGATATTAAAATTGTTCAAGAAATTGTTAATTATTTAGCTGAAAAAGAAGGAGGAGGGGTGCTGATCTGTCTCACATAATTTCTTATTCTTGTTAAACAAGTAAATATGAGCTATATTCTGTCAAATGCTTATTTCCTTCTCTCTTTGTGTAGGTGGCCCTTCCATCCGGGGGCTTCCTAACCCCAAGAGGGCTCCAGACTCTTGGTCTATCTGGCTTAGGATCCAGCTCTGGTTTTGAGAGTATGCACTATTTGTAAGCATTATTACCTTGTGTGTTTTCAGTTCAATTTTTTGAATAATTTTGTATAATTTTATGCTAACCTTTCTAGGTTTGAGAGAGCGTGGGATCCTACTTTAGTTCCAGCAGCACCAAAGAGAATAAGTTATAACTTCCTAAGTTCTGTAAGAAAAATGTCTGCCTTTCCTTCATTATTGTTGAATATAGGAAAAACTGTATAGGGTTAATTTCCCTTATGTATTTACCACACATAGGGCAGTGTATTTATAATAAAGAAAGGTACTCCTCAAAAGAGTAACAGAATACAAAATAGGGTAAATAAAAGATATTATTTGATATTGTGATTAACAATATCTAACAATATCTCAATAATATCAAATAATATCAACTAATATCTAATCATATCTAACACTCCCCCTCAAGCTGGAGCATACAAATCTTATGTGCCTAGCTTGGTACAAAGATAATCCATCCTAAGTCCCCGTAAAGACTTAGTGAAAATATCTGCTAATTGATCACATGAGTTAACGAACTCGGTCTTGATGTCTCCGGACATAATCTTTTCCGAATAAAATGGCGATCAATCTCAATGTGTTTAGTCCTCTCATGAAAGACGGGATTAAAGCTTATATGGAGAGCGACTGATTGTCACACACTAGTGTCATTTTAGTGACATCTCCAAATTGTAGCTCTTTAAGCAATTGCTTGAGCCAAATAAGTTCACAGGTAGCCGAGGCCATAGCTCCATACTCGCTTCTGCACTTGGATCTTGCCACGACACTTTGTTTCTTACTTTTCCATGAGATCAAGTTACCACCAATGGAAACACAATACCCGGATGTAGATCTTCTATCGAGAGGAGATCCTGCCCAATCGACATCCGAATAGCGAGACAACTCTTGTATGATTATGGGAGTCATACACCAAACCTTTTCCAGGAGACTTTTTGATGTACTTCAATATACGGATGACTGCATTCCAATGATCTTGACAAGGAGAATTGAGGAATTGACTCACCACACCGACTGCAAAGGAAATGTCGGGCGAGTAAGCGTAAGATAATTTAATTTTCCAACTAATCTTCTATACTTGTTCGAGGATCCGACATTGGCTCCCCCGATTTTGCAAGAGTTTGGTATTAGGATCCATGGGTGTGTCAACAGACTTTGAATTCATCAACCCAGTTTCCTCCAAAATATCCAATGCATACTTTCTTTGAGATATAACAATGCCATCGGTAGATTGTGCTACCTCAATACCCAAGAAATATCCGAGTTTGCCAAGATCTTTGGTTTGAAAATGGTGACAAAGGTGTTGTTTCATCCGAGAGATGCCATGATGGTCACTACCTGTAAGAACAATGTCATCGACATACACTATCAAATAGATACATCCAAGCATTCGAGTGACGGTAAAAGGCCGAGTGGTCTCGCCTCACTTCTAGTCATGCCAAATTGTTGAACAACGCTGCTAAATTTGCCAAACCAGGCCCTAGGAGACTGTTTTAGGCCATATAAAGATTTGCGAAGACGACATACCAATCCAGAAGACTCCCCGAGCAACAAATCCGGAGGTTGCTCCATATAAATCTCTTCTTGCAAATCGCCATTCAAGAAAGCATTTTTGACATCCGAGTTGATAAAGAGACCATTGTTGAATAGCGGCCATGACAATGAATAAACGAACAGAAGCCATCTTTGCCACTCGGAGAGAAAGTATCACCATAATCCAACCCAAAAATTTGGGTATAGCCTTTGGCTACAAGGCGAGCTTTGAGGCGATCAATAGTACCATCAGGACCAACCTTGATAGCGAAGACCCACCTGCAACCAACAACAGATTTTCCGAGATGGTAATGGGACAAGCGTTCGGGTTCCACTAGTCCGAAGAGCACCGAGTTCATCTAGCATGGCCTGACGCCAACCGGGGTGGGCTAAGGCTTCGAGAGACAGATTTAGGAATAGACACGGAAGAAATAGACGAGAGACAGGTATAAAATGGTGAAGAAATTCGATAATAACTTAAAGCGAGTATAATGTGGAGAAGGATTACGAGTAGAACGCGTACCTTTACGAAGGGCAATAGGAAGGTCGGACTCGTGGACGGAGCCGGAGGAGGCGAGTATTTGGCACTAGGAGAGAGTCATGTGGCGTCTGTTGTGGGCGAGGTCTGCGACTATAAACCTGAAGGGGTGGTGGAGGAGGAGGGGCTAATGGTGGATGGTCCTCAACATAAGGATCAATGAGAACGAGGAATGGGAAGCTGTAGCGAGATGGAGACTCAGCGGGTAGGGAAGGGTCCTTAAAGTAAAAGGAAAACTCATTGAAGGTGACATCGGCGAGACACAAAATAGCGATTAAGAGAAGGAAAAAAACACTTGTATCCTTTTTGGGATCGAGTAAATCCTAAGAAAACACATTTGTGTGACCGAGGAGATAACTTATCATGACCGGGATCAAAATTGTGGACAAAACAGGTAGACCCAAAAACCTTCAGAAGTAAAGGATGGAGAGTGTCATGAGGAAATAAAATAGAATGGAGAATTTTGTTATCTAAAACCGAAGAGGGCATACGATTAATAAGATAACAGGCAGTAAGAACAGCATCACCCCAAAAATGTTGAGGAACCTCACCATGAATTAAAAGAGTACGGGTTGTTTCAATAAGGTGTCTATTCTTGCACTCTGCTACCCCATTTTGTTGAGGGGTATAAGCACAGGAAGTTTGATGAAGAATGCCAGGAGAAGCCATAAATTGTTTAAACGAGTTTGAAAGATACTCACGGCCATTATCACTTCGAAAAGTTTGAATAGAGACACCAAATTGATTTTTAATTTCATGATAAAAGTTTTGGAATATAGAAAACAACTCAGAACGATTTTTCATTAAAAATAACAAAGTACAACGAGAGAAATCATCAATAAAAGTAACAAAATATTGAAAACCTAAATTAGACTTAACACGACTGGGTCCCCAAATGTCAGAGTGAACTAAGGCAAAGGGGGATGAAGCACGCTGGGAAACACTACGAGAAAAGGAAGTACGACTATGTTTGCCTAACTGACAGGACTCACACACCAAATTGGACAACCGGGATAAGCTCGGGAACAAGTTGCTTGTAATTTTCGCAGACTCGGGGTGACCAAGGCTGAGCATGAAGGAGAGAAGGAGACTCCATAATCGTGCCAACATGTGGAGAAGGTTGAAGATAATAAAGTCCATGTGACTCACATCCGGTGCCAATCACTCTTTGCGAGCTCCGGTCCTGTAGGGAAACAAAAGTTTTGGTAAAAGAGATAACACAATCAAGAGATCGAGTTAGACGGCTAATGGATAATAAGTTAAAGGGGGACCGGGTACATACAAAACATTATCAATGGACAACGAGGGAAAAAGAGTAACCGTTCCAACACCATGAGCTAAAGTTGTAGACCCATTAGCCATTGTAACGAGAGGGTAAATTATGAGAAGAAGTGAAAGAGGAAAATAAGGATTTGTTACCGAGTGATGTGATCGGTGGCGCCTGAGTCAAGAACCCAAGAGCCAATAGAAGAAGAGTGAGTCGGACCAGACAAAAGATGTACTGTGTGGGCAACAAAAGTAGTGGAACCGGAGGGCTTTCGATCCTCATACCATTGAAGAAAATCATTGAAGATAGCGGATTTGTCTGAAGGTACAGACGAAGGAGGATCCACAGCAGAGGATTGTGCGGAAGAATCGGTCCGAGCAAGCTGCAGCAGATCGGCGAGGATAACCATGTAAAGCATAACATTTGTCAATTTTGTGGCCTAGTTTGCCACAATGGTCACACTTGACACGCCCTTTTCCCGGCTTGTGAGAGCGATTACGATCATCACGGTGAGAGGCCAAGGCGAGATGAATCATTAGAAACTACAGGGGGATATTGAGAGGTTTACATGGCACCCGCAAAAGGGAGGAACTGGTAGCGGTAAAGCTGGGTGTAACAGGGGAACCCAAAATCCGGTCACGAACAGGGGCATATTTATCGGCAAGTCAGTGTAACATCAAAACCATGAAAAACTTTGATCGTTGCTCTAATTCTTGGGCAGGAGTCGAGGCGGGGGTAATAACTCATTAAATTCATGGAGAAGAGCATGGATCTTACCCACATAATCCGCCACAGGATCCTTATCTCGAGGAGCAATAACATCAAGAAGATTGTAACAAACACCATAAAGACGTTGAGTGTCATTGGTGTATAATAATTTGGCTTGTTCCCAAACGTCATAACATGTGCCATACGATCTAAAAATTTGTTTTAAAGAAGATTGGATGGTATTCTTGAGAACCATACATATATGAGCATCAACTTTCTTCCAACGGACACGATCATTGGAAGGAACATCATCTACCTTGGTAGTAAGATGATCAACATACCCCGACTCTCAAGCCAAAGTCTAATATCGGATGCCCAAGTTGCATAATTCGTACCATCTAATTTATCAATGGGTAAATTCACATTGACATAATTAGTAAAAACAGATTGCTCGGACCCACCGGAGCTGACGGAGGTAACTTCAGAATTGGAAGTGGCAGCGGAAGATGCCATGGAGGAAGGGAGAGAAAAACCCTAAAACACCAAAGAGGTCCGATTGGAGCAGCGAGGACAGATCCAGAGAGAGGAGAAGGAGGCGACGCCGGCGCAAAGAGTGGCGGCCTGAACGGCGGCGAGACGCGCCTGAACGGCGGCGAGACGCGCCTCCACGCGCGGCGGAACGGGAGAAGGTGGCGCGGCTTCGGGAGGCGCGTGGGGGAGCGTGGTTGCTCCGATGACCGCGAAACTTCCACGGTGGAGGTCGCACGGAGGAGGCGAGCAAAACCCTGTGCTCGGCGGTCCGAACTGCTACTCCGGCGACGGCGGTGGCGGCGGCAGCGGACGGCGGTGGCGACGGTGGCGGCGATGGCTGCAGGTTCAGTGACGAGCCGAAAAAAATCCCAAGAGACCTTAAGCTCATGATACCATGTTGAATATAGGAAAAACTGTATAGGGTTAATTTCCCTTATGTATTTACCACACATAGGACAGTGTATTTATAATAAAGAAAGGTACTCCTCAAAAGAGTAACATAATACAAAATAGGGTAAATAAAAGATATTATTTGATATTGTGATTAACAATATCTAACAATATCTCAACAATATCAAATAATATCAACTAATATCTAATCATATCTAACAATTATGAATGCAGAATTTCTAGTTTCCTTCTGAGTATTAACTGCCAATTTTCATTCTATACAGTTTGAAAAGTGGTTAGCTTTTGATACCAATCCACTCTATGCTCTTATGCACGAATCCATCTATTGTCAGGTATTTTTATTTTTGGTTCCTTGTTTATGCATTATCTATGCTTCTCCTTCAACTCTGGTCCCTCGATCTCTCTGCAGGGTTCTGCTAGTAAATGGTCTGCCAATAGTATAAGAACTGAAGTTGAAGACAAGTTTGATGCAATTAGAGCTGCCAAAGAAGGACTCCCTGTATATTTTACAGGGGAGGTAGAGTGTAAAAAATGGATTTTTTTTTCCCTTGCATATAGCACCTTTAACTACTTTTTACTAATATTGACTAATGATATGATTAAAATAATAGTGTATGTCTTGTTTTGATTCTTCCGTATAACCTAGTGGCGGGAAGTTGACACTTGGATGTGTGATGCTAAAATCATACAATAAAAAGAACACTGTGGGACAAGGTTAAAAAAAAAATACATCGATGGATGATGTGAATAATTCAAGCCTTTTGTTCATCTCTAATTGTCAATTGCCACCAATACATGCATTCTTAACATTCATTTAATGACAAGATTTGGTTAGAATTGGCATGCCATTTGGATGTGGAACATTATGCACGACATTGCATTTCCCTCCCTCATACATAATGAACCACTAAATTGAATGCTAATCTACTTATTTTGTTTTCTTTATAGATGCTTACCGTGCTCCTTTGCTTTAATAGATGATTTTCCCATGGATGTTTGATGAGATTCATGCATTGAAACCATTCAAAGATGCAGCTCATATATTGGCAGAGAAGAAGGACTGGCCCCCACTATATGACGTTCAGGTTCTGAATAACAATAAGGTAGTTTACTCCGTTATCTATAATACTAACAAAATTTGCAGTAAGACATGAATTATGATTATTACATCCTTAACAAGTGAGTATGTTTATAAAGATGAAGGTGAGGTGAGTCTCTCAAGTTTTTGTTGGTGTTAACTTTGATCCAATGTTGGCAGGTACCTGTTGCTGCAGCTGTTTACTATGAAGACTTGTACGTGAATTTTAAGCTGGCCATGGAAACAGCTTCTCAAATAGCAGGGATTAGGCTGTGGATAACTAATGAGTTCATGCATTCTGGATTGCGTGATGATGGGAGCAAAGTAATTGATCATTTGTTGGGGATGCTAAATGGAAGAAAACCTCTATTTTGATCATCACTACCATTACGATCATGTTTGAAAACCTGCTGAGAAATAAGAAATCAACTCAGCGATGTGAAAGTTATAATTTATTGCTTCTCCATAAATTTGAAAAACTACATCTAGAATATGGAATCAAAGATGCTATACATCTTTTTTCTCTGCCTCCTACCACGTTGTATGCTTTTGGCTCCATAGCCCATGAATTTTGAACTTTTGTTTTCTTCTCAGTTGATGGATCTTCCACTCTTCATATTTAAATTCTAACATTTTGCTTACATATCTTGAAACGTCTGATAAGTTATTGGTTTTCCTAAATAAAGTTTTTGGTTCTTAAAATAATGTTACTCTTTTAATCTTGTTCCTCGTCTTAAATTATTTTTGTTTTAAATGAATTCTTCATAAAACTATTTTTCCTTTTCAAACGGCTCTTTGTATATTTTGTTTTCCATTTGTTGTTTCTAAATATCATGGGTTTTCATATTGATATTTTAAATATCATTTTGCATTTGCTCCTTTTACACATTACAATAAAACGTTGCTATGTCCTGGATTAATAGACTAATGGATCTTCAATTTATTTATTTATTATATAAAATTATATATATGTATATTTTTTGAAAAAAAACTCTTAATTTTTATAGTTTATTATTTTTTTATCAATTAATATTTTTTAAAAAAATTAAAAAAATTATTATATTCATATACTAAAATATTTAATTATAATTAATAATTAAATTTAACTTATAAATATTTATAATTTATATTATAATATTATAACATATTTTAATAATATAATAAAAAATAAATATTTTAAATTATAATGTTTTATTTTTATTTTAATATATAAATATTTTTTTAAAAATAGGATAACAAGTCAGTCTATTTTATTATCGATTAGACAGATAAATCGAAGTAAACCTATCCCACTTTAATTATACTTTTTTTTTTCTAATTTTAGTCATTATTTTGAAACTAGGAGAAAAAAACTAATTTTCAAAAAATAGATACTCTAAAGTAAAAACTAACTTTTGAAAAGCTAAAAACTAATTATTAAAAACTGATTATAGTTTTAAAACCATCAGAAACGTAGTCTAATTTTTTCATTTAAGTTTTTTTGTTATTTATTATTTTAACTATTACTTAAATTAAAATATAGTTAATAATAATAATTAAATTTTGAATAAGGGGGTCATATAAAAAAAAATAAAAATTGAACGATATATCAAATGTTTTTCTATAAAATTATTGATTTTTTATTTTCAGTGTGTGATTTTTTCCACCTCTCTTCTTCTTTCCCTAGATTTAACAGACGAGGCGCTAACTAAAGCTAATCTACACAGAAAACAGAAAATATTAGTGCAGTTTCGGTGGGGATTGGCACTGAAGTATTGATTAACAGTTGAAGAGAAAAAAAAAAAAAAAAAAAAAGCAATTTACAAACTCAGAGCAGTGCAAACGACGACAAGTCTCAAGATGAATGACAGCATCTTCTGAGTATAGGATCAAAATTCCTTTCTTTTTCGTTCTTTTCTTTCGGTTTTTCCAAATTCAGCGTAAATTACGTGCCATAGTTGTCACCAACATCATGATGATGGCATTGGGAAGTGGAATATACGTAGCTCACACCGCGGCTTTCAGATCAGAGCTTCAGCCCATGGCACCCGACCACATTGGTTCTTCTACTTCTTCTCGTCAAAGGGACCTCGTTTTCATCGTCAACCCTCTAGGTCTGTTGAAAAACACAACATTTTATTGTTGTTGAGCTAAATTTTCGGTCACCCATTATGAATAATTTCTGTTAGCTAGAAAAGCATAATTATCCTTCATTTTTTGGGAATGAAATTTGATTTTTTAGGAAAAATTGGATCATAATTGGCACTCATATTAACAGTTAGTTTACTGACTTCGAATTTGTTTTGGATATGTAAGTGCTTATTCGGCTCTAGTTCAAACAGGATTGCTTTCTGTAAAGGATAACTATGATTGCAAAACTAAATCGACTATTAGTTTGAAAAAGAGAAAAACTTTAGAGAGGCAGGATTTGTATAACAACTTTACACATGGTAATTGTTGATGCGAGTGCCTATGTGAAGTAGTGTTTACTTAAGAATTTATCAAAATTTTAAACTGGAACCTTGAATTGCAGGTGCTAATGGGAGGACGGGTAAAGAATGGAGGAAGCTAGTTCCATATCTACGATCTCGCCTCGATAAAGATTGCAATGTGAGTGAGTCTTGTCGCTGACGTGTTTTGAGTGTTTGCCTATTTGTTTTTGAGAATAACTGTGCAAATTTATCTGCTTGTGTGTTGTGTTTATCAGCAGATTCATTATGTGTTTTGTTTGTTTTTGGGTAGATATGTGAATCCATAACATCAGGTCCTTGTCATGCTATTGACATAACGAGAGAGGTTAGTTTGAAGTGTTTGTGCTAAGTTTGGTTTTATCTCAACTGCTTTCGAAATGTTGAATTGTTTTCATTGTGCTATACAGGCTATAAGGGAGGGGGCCGATGCTGTCATTGCTGTTGGAGGTGATGGAACTCTTCATGAGGTGAACACTTCTTGTTCTTTAAAAAATATTTATTGTTGGGAGTAATGATGTTATTTGAGGGATTATTGCCACATATAGTTCCCTGGGAAATTCATGATAAACCTTTTCAGAAAAGGTTCAACCATACATAACCCTTTTATGGTTTTTGTAACGATAAATGCTGGCAGTATAATTTTTCAACACATTCTTTATTGGTTAAAATTTAAACAAGAAGTAGGAACCATAAATAAGGAGTGAGATTTTACAGGGACTCACATGAATTTGAATTAATACTAAAAGTTGTGTGTTATAAAGAGTGTATTAGAGAGTGTGTTGCTAGCATTTTCCTTATTATAAAATACATGTATTTGATATTAGTAAAGTTGTTGATGAATCTCAACATTTTTTCTTAATTGTTCTCCTAATGCACCTCAGTTTATTAAAGCAGGTTGTTAATGGATTTTTCTGGGCTGGAAAACCTGTTGTTAGTCAAGTGAAAGAGTTTACGCGTTCAACTGCTCTTGGTGTGAGTACTTACCACCAGCTTGCAATGTTCTCAGTTTTTATTCAATGCCTGATATCTTCAATTCTGTCATCTATAATACATCCTGAATGAAATGCTTATTGACAAATATACTATGTTCTGGCTTTATACAGCTCATCCCCTTGGGAACTGGTTCTGATTTTGCAAGAACATTTGGGTGGTTAGTTTTTTTGTTTTCATCGTTATTCTCTTTGTTTATCTTATATAAGTGAAGCTTGTTATATCTATGTAATTGAAGCGAACGTCTTGATTCTTTTCCAGGAAAAATGATCCCCATGAGGCTATTGAACGTGTTGCTAGAGGTTTTTCTTTTTCTTAATTTGTAATTGCTTTAATATTCTATTATAGCAGTTGACAGCTGAAGCATGTTGATGCTGGCCTCAAATCTTATGTTTGCATACGTTCTTTTAGTTTTCTATTATTACATTCTAATTTAGGTCTTCTTTAGGGTTGAGATCAAGTATAGATGTTGGTGTTATCACTGGAGAGGGTTGCGATCATCATTACTTCATAAATGTTGCTGACATTAATTTGTAAGGCTAATTAGAAATTTCCGAATAAGTTAACATATGGATCAATATCTAAAGCATGAGCTGACCAAATTTTATAGGAGTGCAAAGGCGGGTTTTTATGCTTCTAGGTACAAGAGATTTGGAAACCTGTGTTATATCATTGGTGCATTGCAAGCCTTCATTGGGCATCAGAACCAGGACCTGAGGATCAGGGTCAGTGTTAGTTTGAGGTTCTGTGTAATTTTAGTTTTTTCATGGTCTATGTTTGTGAGCCAAAATTGTCACCAAGTTTTACAAACATGAAAAGTGCAGTTCAATGATGGTCCGTGGGAGACATGTCCTCAAGTGACAGCCCTTTGCGTTGGAAATGCAAAATACTTTGGTGGTGGCATGAAAATTACACCAAATGCTGATCCTTTCAGTAGAAATTTAGAGGTGAAATACCATTACGTAAAATATTATAGATGAAAACTATCATCTATTTTGAGTGGTCCTGTTAATCTTTTTATTTTATTTTTTAAAATGTACATATTTTTTTCCATAAATTCTGCAGGTTGTGATTCTTCAGAACTTCAAGTGGTATGATTTTGTCTTGAAATTACATAGGCTATACAGTGGGACACATCTCTCGGTGAAAAATGTATCTGATAGAAGGTATAATCTTTTCCAAAGAAGTCAATCATTCTTAATGTTACCTTTGGTTGCTTCTTTCTAATTGATGTTAAATATCAATTAAATAAAGTTTGAATAACTAATGAAATTGGATTACATGGTCTAGTGAAATCTGAATATAACAAATAGATATTGAATATTGTTAATGTAAGGTCAATTATATAAGGGGTTCTCAAAACCTTCTCATTATCCTTTATAACCTCCTTTTATTGTAACAATGTAACAACAACAAAATCCTGACCAGTAGTGAGGTCAGGCTCTATGGAGTGCACAACGTCGTTAGGAAATATGTCGTTAATGATCCATGTTTGGTATATATACAAGTTTTAAGTTGCCTGCTATTCAGACATAATTGTATTGGATTTATTATTGTGTATAATTGTTTTAGTTGGATGTGTCTTAACTCTACTGAATTGTAACTGACAAAAAATATGGAGGTATGTGCTACCTTTTTCTGCTCATGGAAAGCTTAAGATTGGAACATTGTGATGGTACTCATCCCAGAGTGTTTTTCATATTGCAGTGTACATTCGATTGAGGTGGAGGACATCTCAGGCAAGGGTGGTATTTATATTCAATCTGATGGGGAGCATTTGGGGTTCCTTCCAAAAAAGATTAGTATTCTGCCTGCTGCCATTCAGATGATACTGTGATTTAACTGGAGAGTGACAGAATCTTTGAAATAGAGATGATGCTGTTCATCCTTGTTGTTTGCCAGATTTAGTGGAGGGAGGAAGAGCTTAAGTGTGCTGGCAGCAGAGTAGGCTTCTTACTTATTTTGCTCTGCTATGAGGGAGACTAATTGTAATTTTGAACCAGCAATTTATTGTCATTGAATTTATTTTCTAACTGTAAAATGTATCTACAGTTATAGAATGTTAAATAAAGGTATAAATAAATTAGAAATTCAATACAGTATGAGGTTTGTAGAGACCATTGAAGTCTTATTCTTCCCTAATGAACTCGTTTCATTCATGACTGACAAATCCTAGTGCTACATAGAAAGACAATGAACTAATACAAATTAAGAGACATGATGCTTAACCCAAAACCTTTCTCTTTTTACCTTCTCTTTTTCTCATGCTAAAAATAGCCTATCAAAACCTTGATTGCAGACAAAGTAGGTATTTTTCTTTCAATATAGTTTTTATTTCATGATCAAAATAATATGAAGTAGGACTATGAACTATTTGATTGAACATAAATTGCTATCACTTATTTTAATCAATGTTGATAACATGTCCTTAGTGTAATACAATAAGTTTGAGAATAAGATGTTGATAACATGTCCTTATTTTAATCAATGTTGAAGACATAAATTGCTATAACTTATATATTGACATGCAACTTTTTCATATTAAATAGGCTAAGAGACTTAAAAAAAGTTAATAAAGTTGCTCTTTAGTAACATATTAGTTAAATCGAATAAACAACTTGGAAATGTGACATTAATTAGACATGAAAAAATAATTGTTTGTTCATAATTAAAAAAATAAAACTATTATTTTATTTTGGAAACTAAAAATATTATTAATAATGTTGAATAAATCAGTATTAATGCTATGTTCCTTCCCAAAATGCAAAACAAAAACTTCCCCTCTCTCTCTTATTTTAAAATATAAACTTATATATTTTGAAAGAAAAATATATTTTATATATTTAGAATAATTTTAGTTAATAAAAATGTTCTTTTAAATAAACTTCTCTCTGTTGCTCTCTCTACACACAATTAATAGTTTGTTTTAAATATTTATTATCAATTTTGTGACTTTATTATAGAATAACATAAAGATTTTATATGAAATCCTAAAAATGATGATAGAGATATTTAAAACTTCAGTCTACATTAAAAATAACAAAATCAATAATGAATATTTAAAATTAATTATTGGTGATTTTAACATCCGAGTTGTATAAAAGAGAAATATTATTAGGAGATACATTCTTAATTAAATACTACTGCAAAATAATTTTGTTTATGAAGATTAAAGTGTAATTTAAAACATTGAATGGAGAAAAGGGTAATTTACTGAAAAATTAGGCAGATTAACAGCATTATCCTATTTACATATTTCTGTTTTCCTTTCATGAAATTTGATAAGAGTTTTTTTTTTAATAAAAAGTTAATTCTCCTTTTAAATTTAAAACTACACAGATGGAGCTAGGTGGTGGATTTGGCATAGTTTGGATATAATAGGTGTTGTAGATAACATTATTTGTTCTATGGAGAGTTTACCGAGTAATAATCGAATCATGACGTTTGAACTGTTATTTTTAAGTAAAAAGAGTTATGCTCTAACTAATAACTATAATTTTTTCGGTATCCGAATTAATGTAACGGATTCGATTCCTGTAGATAATTATCAAAGAAAAAATTATTGCAGGTTGAAAAATTATCTAATGACTATGACGGATAACAGGTGGACCAAAGTCAGAATCCAAATAAGATACGAGGTAGCCTAGTATATATTTAAATTTCATTGTATAGTCATTATAAAATCACATCTCAAAGTTAAAACTTAATGCCCCTTTTATTAAAAACAATTAATATATTTTATATTTTGATACAAAAATTAGTTTTGAGATATTCCATTTTAATCTTAATCAACCTGGTAAGCTGACTTTAACAAAATCATGAAAATAATGAATGGGATAAAAGTTACAACGTTTGACGTAAGCAAATTACTACATCGTGCAAGTTTTATTGGTAGGTAAACAGTACATATTATTTGAAATTTTCAACTGGTGTGAGAGGAATGTATACATCGTAAGAGATGAACAAATATTAAGGAACAAGCTTGTTCTCTATCTCCCATATATATATCTTGCACCCAATGCTAAACTCAACTAAATCCAACAACTTCTGTTCAACTGCTCTTTCAAGTTCATACCATGACACATATGAGACGTGAATGCACTAATTTTTCGTTATCATCAATGCATACACATCCTCTTTATAAGTTTCAACGCCAAAACATTCTCATTTTCTCTTCACTTGGATCACTTCATTGTGGAGTCAAGACCTAATGGAAAGCCAAGACCCACCACCCCAGAACAACCCTTTTCTCTTCACGCCTAATTTGGAGCTGCAAAACCCTTTGGACCCTCAAGAGCAACTTTGTGACTTTGACTGGGCTAACATTTTCTCTGCCCAAAACAGCTTGTTATTGCATAATGGGGATACCAAGGAAACTATTGAATGTGTTTCTTCTTCATCTTCTTCTTTTATGGCTCAAAATAAGGTAGTTTGCGAGGAGGAAAAGGGAAACAAGGAGAAAAGGAAAGGTGGGAGGGTGAAGAAAACAACACGAGTGCCAAGGTTTGCGTTTCAAACAAGAAGTGCAGATGATATTTTGGATGATGGTTATCGCTGGAGGAAATATGGTCAGAAAGCTGTGAAGAATAGCACATATCCCAGGTAAATGTGTTTGTATGTTTCAAATGAAATCGATTGGTTTTCCTAATACCAGAATCTGTAGATTTTAATATCGCTTTGTTTTAACCTTAATGAGATGACTCTGAATGGCTTTGTGCCTCATTATCATTTTGCATGAATGGGAATGAAGAAGCTACTACCGGTGCACGCATCACACATGCAATGTGAAGAAACAAGTGCAAAGGCTGTCCAAAGACACAAGCATTGTGGTGACAACTTATGAGGGAATTCACAACCACCCATGCGAGAAGCTGATGGAGACTCTGACCCCTCTTCTGAAGCAAATACAGTTTCTTGCTAGCTTGTAACGTGAAGAAGTTTCTCAGCAGCCACATGCAGTATAATTAAGTTAACTTATCTACATGCTTTTGGCTTTCCAAACTAATGTCACTATACTCTTTATGTGCACTGCATACACTCTTGGTTAATTAATTAGTACTGGTTTGATTGTGAACTTTTTGGTGTTTAATTGTGATCATGATATCACGTGTCTGTGTAATCAAACTTCTGTAAATTTTACTATATATGTGTATCATGCTTTACTCTCAGCTTTAGTTTTTCTATGGATTTTTCATAACACGATTGTGTAATGTTTCGCACATTACGTTCAAAAGCAAAATTTGCTAATTTTGTGGTTGCCTAATGAGTGGCGTTGTGCTGCTAAAGTAAATACAACAATGAATATTATAAACCCTAAATTGTAAACCAATGGTGTTTAAATATTGGTTTTAATGAGAGGGATTTAGGAAGAAAATGATTTCATGAATATTAGTTGCCGTGTATAAAATAAGGAGCATTTGGTAAGGGATAATTTTTTTTTTTTTCAAAATTATGAAGTTGGGACTGATAACGTAAGACCATGTTTGGGTGGAAGTATTAACACTCAAATCTATATTCTTAGTTACACCTTTCCCTTTTTCTATTTAATTTTTCATTTTTGTTTTTAAAAAATCAAAATAAATTTCTATTCACACTCTTTATTTAGTTTTTATTATAATTTTCCCATGTTTAATTTATTGAAACAAAAATCAAAATAAAAATAAGTTTACTTCCTTTATTTGTGTATTAAAAAGTAAAAAAAAAAAGAATTATATTTCACAAAATTTTAAAAATATAAAATAGTATAGTAATTTAAATGATGATTAATTTGAATGATAAGATATTTCATATAGAACTTTAGTTATTCTGATGTTATAATATATATATATATATATATATATATATATATATATATATTTTTTTTTTTTTTTCAATTTAAATACTTTTTTAAGAATAAAATCACGGAAGAGATAAATAGGACATAAAAATTCTTCATAAAGTATGAAAGAATATCTATTCCTGCTTCAAACTTCAAACACGCGATCACAACTTTGGAACCACATGCATATAGCCAGATAATGCCGAAGAATGAAGAATTTGTTTTCAACTTTTTCATCAATTATGGCACCACCGAATATTTATCCCAAACACAAACCTAGATTTTTATTTTTTGGTGTATTATTCTGAATATAAAAGACAAAACAAATCCATTTTACGTACGTTTTATTTCTCTTTTTGTGGTGGATTTTTTGTTGTGAATTGGTGACAAAATAGTGTTACCTGAAAAGAATATTAAAAGTGATACATTTTTGTCAATGCAACTTGAAAGTGAAGAGTCACCAACGAGGTTGTCTTTATAAAAATAGTTAGTTAATATATTGAAAATAGTATTACCAAAAATTCAAAACTTTATTTATCTCTAAATCGAAATTTAAAAAGAAAAATTGGAATAGAATATTAAAAAAAGAAAAAAAGAAAAAAAGAAAAAGAGATAGAGTATCGCGTTTTTGTTTTCGTGATGCTTATTTCTCTCTCTATATACCATGTTCAGTGATTAATAAATTCATTTTCCAATTTGTATATCTGAATTTAGTTCTTCATCTTTACCCTACCACTTTTAGCAAACCAATGCATGCATGCATGCATGCACTTGGATCCATCTATATCGGATTCAATCATCGATTCATGTGTGTTCATCACGAAAAATAATAAAAAAATTATTGAATGATGCAGAAAAGGACAAACCACCAATAATGCACCACCACCCTCAATTTTCCAAAAATTAAAGTGTGTTTTTTTTTTGTATTTTTATTATTCTTGTTTTAGATTTTATAAAATATATTGAAATTTGTTTTTAGAAAGTAAGAGTGGGGAAAAAGATACAAATGGATAAGAAAAAAAAATATAAATAATAAAAAAACTTAAAGAAGAAAAGTCAAAATTTCGAGGATGTTCTTTTGAAAATAATTTTTTCTCATCAAACAACTTTTTTTTAACACAAGAATTAATTTTCAAAAATAAGAAATTAGCAAACACGTAGCCAAAAAAGAACGACCATTGAATAATTTTTCCCAAATATGTTACTCAATCTAATAATAAAGAAAAAAAAAAACGTTTTGATTTTTTTATTAGAATTAAAAATAAAATAATTGTCTTAAAGCAAACTTTGCTCTAATAACCTAATCCAGATGGTTGCAATGCAACACATGTATGGTGTACAGACTTAACCTACAGGGTTAGAACATGAAAGGGAAGAAAACGACGGCGATAATGAGCATTAGTTCCTTAATCTAATCATCATCGGATTTTCGGATCTAATCCTATTCCCTTGTGCCTCCAAAAGTTGAGATCCGAGAACCCGGAGAGGGCCACCTTCGACGACACGTCGTCACGTGTCGGCACTGCGTTTGGCCTTTGCGTGTGTCGTTTGCTTGGTTTTGTGGTGTATAAGTATGCGCGTGAGTTTGGTTAAGGTGTCGGTTGGTGTGATCGGAGTGAGTCTAATATTTGCAGTGCTCAAAATGTCGCAGTTGTTGGACAAAGCCAAAAACTATGTTTCGGAGAAAGTCGCTAACATGCCGAAGCCCGAGGCGAGTGTCACCGACGTCGATTTCCAGCGCGTGAGCCGCGACAGCATCCAGTACTTGGCCAAGGTTGCTGTCGCCAATCCTTATGCCACACCCCTTCCTATTTGTGAGATCAAGTACTCCCTCAAAAGTGCTGGCAGGTTCGTATCTTTTTTTCAACTTTTCTGTGTTAGTTTCAAATGGTTGTAGTATTGGGTTAATTGGTAGGTTCCTTGATGCATTCATTTGATAAGTTTATAATTTTGAAAGCAGTGAATCAAAGTTTGAAAGAGAAAATGATGTGATTTGTTGTTATTGTGTGTTGTGTGGTGAGAAGGGAGATAGCATCAGGGTTAATACCTGACCCAGGGTCGTTGAAGGCAAAGGACACAACAATGGTGGATGTGCCAGTGAAGGTGCCTCACACCATATTACTGAGCTTGGCAAGGGACATTGGTGCTGATTGGGACATTGATTATCAATTGGATATTGTTCTCATCATTGACCTTCCTGTCTTTGGCAATTTCTCCATTCCTCTTTCTCAGACCGGTGAGATCAAGCTCCCCACCATCAGAGACATGTTTGCCTAATTCCAATCCCAACAAATACCTTTAGATCTTTAGATTACAGCAAACAAAATAAATAAACCCCCTCTTTCTCATTTTCCTTCTCAACCAAATCAATTTCGATATGTTTCTGATTCAGTACTTCATCATGCATCCTCTTTCTATGGATGCTAAACAACACACCTTCATATTTCAAATCACAGATATGGTTTCTGGTATTTGCTCAATAATAGTTTGCCTTCACGTAGTTACTTGTTATGCTAAAGTAGTGGTGGTAATAATATATTTCTATTTTATTAATGCTATAAATTTATTAAAATTATTAGATTTTAAGTTAGTTTTTTTATTAAATAAATAAGATTCGTTCAAACTTGTGATTTTTATTTAATTTTGAGTAAAAATAGAGAATGTGTTCATAAAGTATATTGTTTCTTACAGTAATTTTTCTAATCCTAATTATTCTTCTTGGTTGAAAAACATAGACTTGCCTTATTACAATGTCATTCACATCCTCACTGAAACAAAAATAATTTATTTTACAAAAATAAAAATAATAGTTTTTAAATTTTAATGAAATAAAACACTTAGTTTTAAATATATATATTGTGTATCTTTAATTTAGTTTTGATCTCAATATTTAAAATGGATTAGTTCTTAAAAAAATAAATTTATTTTTATTAATTTTATGATAATTATCAATAAATGTTATATTTAGATGTAAATAAAAATAAAAATTTATTTTGATAAATTACGAGAGAATTAACAATTTAAAAATATATGAATTAAAATAAATATAGAAAAAAACTCCTATACATAACTTTATAATAAAAAGTTTGAAAGATCTAAAAATTGTTATGCATGTCTTTGTTATATTATAATATTTTTATTTTTGATATATTAGTTTTTATACTGTTGCCTAGTTTATTAAAAGAATATTAAATTTTTATTTTGAGAGACTCAAACCAAAACCTTATTATCATTATAATATTTTAAAAATAATTTTATCGAAAAACTCGTTTTTAAATCATGATTTTGCAATGAGAAGAACATCAACTTACATTCAAAATAAACACTTTCAATTATTACGAGAAAAGTACATTTGTTATTTGTTGTTGTAAATTAACTAAATATCTTTTACTTTAAATATACATATAAATATAAATATAACATTAAAAACTACTATAATGTTATGTATAATCAACATTTTTTTATGAGATAAAAATCACTTGGGTTTTAGAAAAAAAAACTATAATTTAAAAAAAAATTAAGTTGAATACATTATCATTTTAATTACAATTGAAATTAATTAAAGTTAAATGACAATATTTTTCATAAATATTCCTTCGTTCACTTGACAACTTTCATGTGTAATATATATAAAAGAAAAGCATACAAGTAAAAAAAGAAATTGGACATTAATATTGATATAACAAAGTAATATAATGCACATGAAACTAAATCCTTTCAATCAGCTAATTTCTCACTTCGATCTTAGTGGCATTGAATCAATTTAAAATCTTAATTAAATAAGCAAACTATATATATGAAGCATATTGAAGCACCTCGAGTTACTCCACGCATTATCAAAGTATTGAAGAATATATTATGATGATTATATCATTCAACATCCTATACTTGAACATTTATGTAATATATGGAAATGGAAAAGGTATCATCAATAAAGATAATTGTATAATGAGTTCACTTACTTGCACACTGCTATTAATAACTACTGCATCCACCTTAAAGTTGTGTACGTTTGTCCTCTGTCTTACATATTCAAAATACATCTGAGGGAAGATGCTACAAAGAATTTTGTGCACAAGTTTCCAGTACCATAATCTCCATTGCTTCCAAATCAAGAGTGGACCAAAAACAATTCCATGGCCAAAAACCAATCCCAGCTCGACACTGATAAAATCCCAATTAATTGAACAAGCTATTCTTTCACATTGTGGTTGTGAAAACATATTTGGATCTTTACCATCTTCATTTCCAGTCAATGGAGGACCGTATAGTCCACCATTGCCTTCAAAAGAAGAAACTGGAAATGACTGAAGTTGGGTACTTGTTGGGATCTTTCCAACCAAATGATTGAAAGAGAGGTCTAAATATGAAAGGAATGATAAACTTGTGAGTTGCATGGGAATTTCTCCACTTAAAGAATTTAGTGAAAGGTCTCAAGTTACCTATGGTTGATGGGATTTGACCAGACAAAGCTTTGTTTGACAAGTTCAAGATATGGAGTTCTTCTAAAGCCATTATCTCCTCTGGTATAGGTCCTTCAAAATGGTTGGATGAGAAATCAAGGGACGTGAAAATTGTCAAAATTTTAATCAACTCCATTTGTTGACCTTTGCTCGTGACTGTCACACTATCTTGATAATATTTTTTAAAAATAAATATCAAAAGTTTCAAGCTGCTTCTCTATAATCCTCGTTTCACCTTCATTATGTTTTAAATTACTTTTCCCAATTTTGAAATGTTTTCCTGACAGCTTGCCACTAAAATATTGTTGAAAGAAATGTCCACAATTTGAAGCATTTCCCAAGTCTTATTGGCATTCGAACATCTTAGGGAACCTTGAAATTCGTTGTTTCGCAAAACCATAACACGAAGTGTTGATATTTCTTTCAAAAAGCATGGAAAACCATCAATAATTTGATTTGATCCAAGGTCCAATACTTCTAACCTTGAACAATGGGCAAGGGACATTGGAATTGGCCCATCCAATAGATTTCCATGAAGATTTAAAGTCGATAAACCACAGGAAAATGAAATTGTGTCAGGAATAACACCTGAGATATTATTGTTCTTCAGATTTAATACTTCAAGAGTGTCATTTATCATCATTAAACATGAGGGAATTGTTCCAGAAATGTTGTTTAGTGAAAGATCAAGCACTTGAAGATATGGAGAATTGCAGAGGGAGTAAGGGATGCTACCATGCAAACTATTGTTTGAAAGAGAGAAAAAATATGCGTGAGACAGGTAATTACCAATATCTCGTGGAATAGAAGAGCTAAATTTGTTGCATGAGAAATCAAAATACACCGCATTTTTTGGCAAAATGGGTTTTGGCCCCTCAAGCTTATTGCAATGAAGGTCAAGGACCTGAAAGTTGGAATCAAGATTCTGCAATGATCCACCTTCGAAATCAGTTAACAAGTTCTGAGAAATCTTAAGGATTTGAAGTTTCTGTAGTTTCCAAATCCAGTTGGGCACTGTTCCCTTGAATCTTAAATTTTGGGTAATGTATATATATGATACATATTTAATATTTAAATGTGTTAGGGTCATTATTTATTAAGCCAAATAATAAAGTGATCTGAATAAATTAAAGTTTTGGCTAAAAGCATATGTCATGAAAATATGATTGTGTAGAGACCATAGAGTAATTTCTAATTTGATGAGGGGCCAAATTGAAAATACTAAAACTTAAGTAATTAACCTAATATTGGTTATATAAAGGGTCATGGTCCCCTTTTGAGAGCACACAGACAGAACAAAGTTACAGTCCCGTTCTTTTCTTTCTATCCCCATCAAGAGAGAAAATCAAGAGGGAAATACAGGTGTTCTTCAGGTGGAAGACCATAAGATCAAATCAAAAGTGCTCTACAAAGGATATCGTTATTATGACTAATTCAGGTACGCTTTCGCATTTAGTTTATAACATGTTTACAGTATGAGATTAAATATATATGTTTGATCATTAGAATGAAGACACTAGTACAGAAAACACCTTTAACATCGGTTCTTAGCAGCTTTCTACATCGGTTCTAGAACCGATGTAGATACAACCGATGTAGAAAGTTGGTGAGTTTTAACATCGGTTAAGAACCGATGTAGAAAGTCTGACTTTCCACATCGGTTCTAGGTCATAACCAATGTAGAAAGTCTGACTTTCCACATCGGTTATAGCTATAACCGATGTGGAAAGTTAGACTTTCTACATCGGTTATGGCCTAGAACCGATGTGGAAAGTATTAAAAATCACTTTCTACATCGGTTATGGCCATAACCGATGTGGAAAGTCATATTTTTTTTTATATACGAATTTTAGTTTTTGATTTTTCAGAACCTGTACAGCATTTTAAATATTTACAGCTACTCAGAATGTTAATCTATATATAGAGGACATGCATTAACACACAAGTAAACATAATGTATATTATATATCTACATTGTATTGTATCAACAAAAACAATAAACATGTATTGTATTATAAGTTTATATATACAAAGAAACTAGCAGTCCTAATGTTTCACAATTAAATTCAATCACGACTATAGTTCTTAATAACAAAATCTGCCCAAATTCGTCTAATGTCATCAATCTCTCGCTTCACTTATTGGATGACCATCATCGAATATCTACAAACAAAAAAAACATTTCGGATAAGCGAAGTAGGCAAATATATGTCAATGACATAGATATAGTCATAACACATACCAAATTCCATGAATCTGTGATATTTGTTGTGATGATTGTTAACATATGTCTCATCACATAATATCCGCACTCCCAACTTCCTTTTTGCTTATTACACTATAAGAAAAAAAAACATTAAATACAGTAAAATGAGTAAATTAAAGTTAAGAATTTGAAAGATAATGTCCTTACACGTGGAAGTATCCATGTGGGTTTCTTTTTAGGCTTACCCTCCATGACTGAGTATGCTTCTATACACCTACAAAAGATTAAATGGAAAATACTTCATATTAAGACATGTGGAACTTAAAATGAAATGAATGAAATATTATACAAGGGTGTTAGTATACTTATCTTAAACAATTGAATGTTGTGTGGATCGGGATTTGGGAATGAAGCACAATTATTATGAAGTACTTACTTATGAATATAAAAAGTAAAATCTGGATACTATTTAGCTCAAAGGAGTGAAGCACAGATCTTTACAGTTATTTAATCTGTCATGAACCAGACCTAGAGTATTTAATTAGTCACAAAGACAGATTCATATATAAGGGTGTTAGTATACTTACACATCAATAATCTGTTTAATTTCCTTTTTGGGTTTATTCCATAAAGAGCATAAAAAAATAGTCTCATTACGTTTAGGACAAAGGATAAACAGTTGCCAGTGAGACCTACAAAAAATGTCGCTCAATTAGCAATTCTTAAGAGATTCAAAGTTTGAAAGTAAGTAATTTAAAAAAACTTACCCATAATGATATGGTGCGAGATAAACTTCCTTTGATCCTTCACAAAATCTCTTTTGAATGTATGCTTGAATAGTATTTGGTTTGTTCCCCAAACTCTGAATGTGGACAGGATCAATGAATCCATAGACATCTTCTACTCCCTTTTCCGCAACAGCTTTGTTGAGGTAACTAGAAATTGAAAATATCATGTTAATTTCATTTTAGACAAGTTCTAATAGGGCATACAACCAATTGACTTAAATAAAAACATAAGACTTACATTAACCAGACTTGGAGAATTGTGACGCAAATCATGTCTTCACTCAAAACAACATCCATAATGTCCTTCTGACTCAAGTACAACGTGATGGGCTGCGGATTCCCAATCACATGAGGGTCCATCTGGATCTGTAAAGGTATATGCTTTCCTAGCCTATAAGCTAAGAGGCATAACCTTTGTATCGGATCTAAGTCCAGTTCCTCTTGAACTTTCTCTTTCTCTTTCTCCTTCCCCTTCTCCTTTCCTTTCGTTGGGCACAAATGTCCTATACACATCAAGGAATTAAATTAAAATTTATGATAAAATAATAAAATTATAAACATGTATCAAATTATTAAAGAAAACATATAATACCCGATCAGTAGGAAACTGGATAAGTGCTCTAGGCCACTGAATGAAATGACTGTTGAACATTCAAGGACTTGATGTTGCAAATAATGATCATGAAGAATGTTGATTTTGATGATGATCCAAGAGCTTAAAGACTTAGAGTATTGAAGATTGAAGATTGATGATTTCTGTATTGTAATAACTCTATTTTAGTTTGATTAAGTCTGTAATTATAGAATCTAAGATAGCCGGTACATAGTCCGTAACTTAGAAGCTTCAAAATGCTCAAATTTATCATGCAGGCTCGGCTTTAATCGATTATATAGGTAAATAATCGATTAAAACGAGTGAGAAAACCACTTTCTATACAAAGTCACTGTTTTAATCGATTAAACGACAAAATAATCGATTATTTCGTACTATTCAGTACGAGATAATCGATTATTTCACCAAATAATCGATTAATCCAGAGAGGTTTGGGTTCGACGTATTTGGCTCTGTTTTAATCGATTATCACTCCAAATAATCGATTATTTCGATCTGTTTTTCATTTTAAATTTCAAATTAACCCTATTTTCGAAAACCCAATTACCAAGAACCCTAGTTTCGAAATCCCCAATTCCTAAACCCTAATTTCCCTACTTAAACTCTGCTTTGGCACTCAGAAAAGAAGAACAACTCTTTCCATACAAAAGCTAAGTGTTGTGAGTGCCAGAGAACTGTTTGTTGCAAGGAAAGGGGGCTTTTGGAACCTGGTGTGGGTTAGAAGCGATAAGAATCACTAAGTGGAGTTCTTAGTGGATTGTGTGTTGTGCCGTCTCTGGGGAAAGTTGTTCTTCATCTCTTGTGGATTTCAAGAGAGGTGTTGTCTTTACTTTATCTCTTTCATTTGTAATTTGTTTTGTAACAATTTGTTCTTAGTGACAGCGTTAATCCTCTTTTGAGTGATTAGCAACTGGACGTAGGGTCTTTTGATCCGAACCAGTATAAACCTACTGTGTAATCTTCTCTACTCTTCTCTATTTACATTTACGCAGTTTTTAATCGGTAAAATTTGGGGAAAATTTTGAAAACCTAATTTTTATTAAGAAACCAATTCACCCCCCTCTTGGTTTTTGTCCGACCACGCGAACATTCAGCTGCGCGATTCTAACAAGTGGTATCGAGCTTGCTTTGATAGTCATTCAAACTTTTCGAAAATGGCCGGACAAAATCAAACTTTTGCCGAAGGTGCGTCTATCAACAGACCCCCACTTTTTGCGGGTCAAAATTATCCTTTTTGGAAAGTACGTATGCAAATATTTTTAGAGTCTGTTGATAGAAGCGTTTGGGACGCAATTTTAAATGGTCCATTTGTTCCTAAAATTACAGAGAACGGTGTTGACGTTCTTAAACCTATTTCTAGATGGACTGTAGAAGAAAGTCGAAAAGCACAATTTGATGTTAGGGCTAGAAACATTATTTCATCTGCTCTAACCCTTGATGAGTTTTATAGAATTTCAGTTTGTAAAAGTGCACAGGAAATGTGGAAAATGCTAAGGGTGACCCACGAAGGAACTGACGACGTCAAAAGAGCGCGTAAAAACTCCCTAATCCAAGAATACGAGATGTTCTGGATGCAACCCGGCGAAACGATTTTCGACGTTCAAAAGCGTTTCACTCATATTGTGAATCATCTCACCGGATTAGGTAAAGTATTTGACGTTGATGAATTAAATGTTAAAATTTTGAAATCTTTGGATAGGAAATGGCAACCTAAGGTGACGGCCATCTCGGAGTCACAAAATCTTGCCACTATGTCTATGGCGGCGTTATTTGGAAAGCTTAGAGAACATGAACTTGACCTTGGAAGACTAAATGAGGAAGAGGGTCAATACCAAAAGAAGAATCTAGCTTTCAAGACCGAGATTTTAAAAAGCAAAAATAAGAATGAAGAAGAAGAAGACTCCGAAATTGATGAAGAAGAGATGAGTCTTTTTATAAAGGAGTTCACCAAATTGATGAAAGCAAAAGGAAGACATCCTTTCAAAGGTAAGGGAAAGGTAAAAGAAAATTCTTCCATTAATATAAAATGCTATGGT